TGTTAAAACGATATTAGAGCTGCAGTGTATCGGAGGACCACAGCCCTGTTGCGTTTAAAGCTGAGTTTCCTGTGTGTTGAGCTGAAATGATGAAGCAATTAATCATGTAATCGATGAACAGAAAATTATTCAGCAACTATTTTGATTATCGTTTAGTTTTAAGGCAGTTTTTCCATCGAAAATGCAGTTAGTCTTTTTAAAACGTTGACCCACATGACAGACTTTTACTGAGAGCAGACACAACCACACGCTTTGAGGTTTGACTCTGTTATAAGGTGAGTAATGGAAATATCGCCTCTTCAAGTCTGTCTACTTTTTATTACAGAGCTGGGCTTCCTGGCTCACTTTGTGAGCATGTTGTGAATGTTTTTAAGAAGCTAAGCTCCACAGGAAGGTCAGAGGTCAAGGTTAGCTTAGTGAACAGCAGCATTCAGGAGAAAATAACATACAACGCTGATTTTGTCACAAATGAAAGTTGAGCTTTCATTTTGTCAAGAACAAAGTCCAGTTTTCTTTCTTCAGGTGTTAAGTATTGATGTAATTGAGTGAATCAAAGGTCACGTCCGCACACAGTCTTGTTTTGTCTTATCAACAGTCCAAAACTGATTTACAATAATATAGAACAGAGACGAGCAGAATGTCTTCAAATTTGAAGGATTGAAAATCAATTTTTGGAATTTCTACCTAAAAAATGACGTAAACGATTATGAAAAGAAGATGAAGGAATCTTGTTGAATCTGTGAACGTCAGACAGTGTTTTCTTCTCGTGTTTGACAGTGATTTGGTTTGGTTGAAATAGCAGTGTTATAGTATACTGTATATTATCAGACTTTATCAGCAGTGGGTATTGCCACTGATTTCCTGCTCGATTCAGTCAGAGATATTTCAGTTACTACACCAGTTTCACTTGGACATGAACGAGCTTCTCAGAAAACTGTTGCTGTGAATTGTTCCTCTAACATGGTGCACTACTAAGAATATTAATGTTGAGTTTGCAACTCCAAAGCTGTTTTATTACTGCACTTTTTATTCAACATGGGCCACCAGTACACTCAATGGTGACAGTCGAACCTTTCAGCTGTAAATCACCAGGAAAAAAAATCACATAAGACTCAAGATACTCAACATATTTGCAGAGTAACAAGGAGACAGCGTTGTAATGCTTGTGGTGTATGCCACTGAGGAGGTGGTTACAGTGCATGTTTCTCAGTGAGTTGATCTGCTGTAGTTGGAGGTTCAGTATGATGCACATGTGCATGAACCTCGTCTAGCCAGTTAAAACTTTATCACAGCCCATATTTAAACCTCCCTAAGTCACATCTGCCTACACAGCACATGCTGTTTATCTAGAGAGGAAATGCAGACAGACAGAAACCCCTTAATTAATAAGATAAATACATAAGGGTCTTTCTAGAGAAGACACTCATCCGTGAACGTTTCCGCCATCAAACGTATTCAGCATTAAATTCTTTATTTGAAGAATATTCGGGAGGTAAAATTACCCTGCTGAGTCGAAGACTAAATCAACAGCAAGAGAACCACATCTGTTGCCAGATACAGCTGGTGTGTGTGTGTGTGTGTGTCTCTGTGTGTCTCTGTGTGTCTCTGTGTGTGTGTGTGTGTGTGTGTGTGTGTGTGTGTGTGTGTGAGCAAGTGCATGTGAACACACCACAGGATGTTAGCTTAGCCACTCAGCACTGTTCCTGCACAGCCGACACATTTATTACAACCCTGGGCTGCCTTACCTTTTCCCGGAGGTCAGCTCAGGTTTTTATGTTTTTCATTAGCAGCAGCAGCTCAGTCCATTTTTCTTGATGATCTCCAGTGGAGACAGGTTTATAAACATATCTGAATGTTGTTGAATTACACGAGGTGTGTTTGGTTCTGGAAACGTAGCATTAAGTGCTGAGCCGTTGGAGAGCTTTGGGGGGAAGTTGGGTGAAAAGTGATGGGGGGTTTACGGTTAATCACACACTCACTTCTATCCACCATCACCTCGGCAAAAACCACAACGTGTTTCCACATGGAACCACAGACTTTTTTTAGTCATGCTAAAAAAAAACAACTAATTTAATGTGATTCAGCTGCTGAGTTTGATCTGATTTGTAATGTTGTTATTTATAAATGAAACCATTTTTGAAAGTTTTTTTTGAACGCCATACAGGCTGAAATGTCTATTTACCCCAGTCTGCACAGCAGTGTAACGCCAGGTGTTCTGTTACCTGGTGGAGTGATGGTGTCAGGGGTGGAAAAGACTTTGCCTACACCTTTCTCGGCCACAAGTCGGTGCACACTGTAGCAGTTGAAGCTATTTTGACAAGTGGTTTTGCTCATAAAATGAGAATTTTCTCAGCGTTAACTGTGTTTCCAACAGTGACCCGGAGACACACGGACGACGTCTTCGTTGTTGTCGCTTAACAAGTCGCCAAATATGTGACGATTTCATTTAAACAGCCTCCAGAGAGAGAACAGCGTGAGAGATGAATCAAATCAGCCACAAGTTCAAGTATCAGTGCAGTGTTGATATTCTAAATGTTGTGTGCGTGTGTGTGTGTGTGTGTGTGTGTGTGTGTGTGTGTGATTGTGCTGTGGTTGTGTGTGTGTGCACCATATTTGCAGAAACTTTAATGAGGTCATGGAGCACAGGAGGTTCAGTAGCAGGATGAAGAAGCCTTTTTATGGCCATCTGTAAACTGAAACATATGTGAGCTATATCCAGTGTGTGTGTGTGTGTGTTTGTGTGTGTGTCTTCTTGATGGTGTCTCTTCAAAGCATCCACACCCTCATATCTCCTTCTCCACCACCCCACCCCCTCTCTCTCTCTGTCAAGGCAGCCATTGTGAACGCTCAGCAAATATTAGGGTGTGTGTGTGTGTGTGTGTGTGTGTGTGTGTGTGTGTGTGTGTGTGTGTGTGTGTGTGTGTGCGCGTGCGTGTGTGTGAGACAGAGAGAGAGATATACATTCAACTTCTGAATTCATCCAAAAAGAAAGAAGTTGCATTTCAACACACAGGCCTGTTTCCTACGGCGGAAGTTGGATGTGTGTCTGCATTCACTCAGATCTGCGTCAGTCCGCTTATAAATGGACTCAGCTTGCTTGTAGTAACCTGGTGCAACTGTGAACCAAAACCAAGCAGGGGTTTTCCTCACCTTGCAACACATAATAAGACACTCGGTCTCACTGGCTCCTGTCTTCCTCCCTTGCTTTATGTGTTGCTCTTACATCTGCAGTTGTGTCAGTGTCATTTCATCACTGCTGCAGGAAATGAGTCGACGTGTTGGTCTCTATATCCTGATTAACTGTGAAATCGGCTCAGGCCTATTCATAGACTGAAGTAAGACTCTGGGCCCTTTCTCGATGACAGCAGAAAGCAGAGTCATAAATTCAGCATATTTTAAAATGCAATTAAGTAGCCTCAGCACAGAGTGATGGAAATACACTTCCCTGCCACAGAGGGCTCTGCCGTGGTGGATAGAAACATCTGTAGTTTTTAGAGCAGTGGAAACATGCACATGTGCATTTGGATTTAAATCTTTAAATCTGCCACTTCAGCTAAAGTTCGTCCAAGACAAAACCTCACGCCTGACCCTGAGGATTGTTTCGTTTGCGATTATTAGAAACAAATGTGATGGAATTGTATCGTACTAGTTTTCTGTCATGACGTTGAAATGTCAAATATTTCTATAATCTGTAAACTCCCCTTTCCATTTCGTGATGTTGATCCTACCTGACTCGTGGGTGGAGTTAGAAGGCCTCTACAATTTGGTCAAAGTAAAGTGACGGACACTTTTCATTTTAGTTATTTATTATACATCGATCTACTATTTCACTCACATGTTGCGCTGTTGTCAAAGAGTCAGAACGGGGCCTCAGTATAGAAAGCTGAGTTCTGAAAATTGGGATATAAACACTGGATGATTATTATCTTATGAGCAAGAGGGTTAAAGATGCTTCACATATGCTCTTGGACCGTCGGTCTCGCTAAGTAAGCAGAAATCAGACTGTCGACGTGTGCTGAGCCTTTATCTTCATTTTGACATGTAACTGTAACTCGCCTCCTTCTCTGCTGTTCTTCGCTGAGTCTTCATTGATTTAAGCTTCATTTATTTAGCATCTCAAGCATCTGACTTCAGCGTTGTCACACGCACACATCATACACAGTCACGGTCTCCAGTAAAAGTATGGCAGGTGTAAACTCTTGACACCGAGGCATGTGTGCTGTACACGTTGTCCTGTGTGTGTTTGGTCATTTTCTGCAGCGTTTTAAGGGCTTTTTTTATAATTGTAAACATTGCATATTAGTAATTATTTAGCTTTTGATAACAGTCAGAAATATTCTTCCAAAATAAACTTTTCTAATCCTTAGTTAATATTGCTGCAAGTATTATCGTCTTCAGGTAGTCGGTGTCATTAGGCGTGGACTCACCAACGTGCTTCCTCGCTCAGACCCAGTTTGGGTTTGGGCACAAATGTGACATGTGTCATGCAAGAACAGTTTCTTCTGTTCCTCGTTTGTCTGCTGCTGCTGTTGTCCTGCTGCTGGGTCTTATTTTGACAAAATAGGGACAAAATCTCAGTGCCAGTTTTCAGTGTGAAACATGGAAGGTGACAGACCATGCTTTCTCGAGTGAGATGGAAGAAAGATTATGGGCTGGGGAGGGAGACTTAGAAAAGAAGGCGGCTGAGATGAATGTCAAGACTTTGTGCAAACAGATGAAGAAAGCAAAGGGAGGAAGGAAGAGAAAGAAAGGTGATAAACAAATGCAGCGTGGGAGTGATGCACAGCTGAGAGAAAGAAAGTGCGAGAGAGGAGGAGAATGTCAAAAATGATACGTAGCTGAGATGCAGAGGTATCATCATCGTCCTGGCAACCGGATGGCTGCGGTGCTGGAGCCGTGCAGTGACTTCCTGTTTGTCAGCAGCATACAGGAAGTAAGAGGCCCCTAGAGGACGGTCTGACAGTGAGTGTGTGTGTGTGTGTGTGAGATTTGAGATGAAGTGAGAGTCCGAGCTGTGTGTGTGTGTTTATGTAAGGCGACACAGAATGATTTTGGTGTGAATTCGAATGTGCGAGCATGCATGTGAGGGAGTAAGTCACATACTTGTTCCTCCTCTTGCCCCTTGTTTACTAGTTTTGTGATTCATGGCGTTTTCCCTGAACGAACTCCATGATCTTACTGCAGCTGGTTCTCTGGTAACACTAGTCAAGTGACTGCAATGGAGCTGATTCTGTGGGACTTAAATGTTAGCTATTTTCTGATGACAGGTAAGAATCGTTTGTGTTATGTTCATCTTTTTAAGGTGGTCACGCTTCAACTATGTTCATGTGTGTATCAGACCATGCAGTTTAGATGGGGAAGTGACTCCTCTCAGGCCAGTAATTCAACCTGGCAGACTGTTCAGGGCTGTGAAGTATAGGATGTTCAGTTAAACACTAGACATGCAGCATGTTTTAAAGTTATATTTTAGGGAAGTTAGGGATAGGGACTCAAGTTCCTGTCAGATGAAACATTTATTTTAAGTCTGTCACTGCCTGTAACTACCATGCACCATCAGCTGATTGGAGACTTTTTCCTGACTTATTTAAAACGTTTAAATCTTTTCTTCATGTGTGCTCTGCTGTATCTGGACTCTCAGCCCCTCCAGGAATTCACTATATTGTCAACACTTCCTGCAAAGTTGCAATTTTTTAAATACTTTCCATACACACACACACACACACACACAAACACACAAAAAAAGAGATTGCATTTTGTCAACAACCCCTGTTTACGTAGGGAAATCATCAATCTCAACCTCACATTGAAGCCACAATCTCAACAGATAGGAAGAGCAGGACTTCCTTCCCCTGGAACCTTTCAGGCATGTCATCTCAGTCGATCTCTGAAGGGACGCTGTGAAGCCTAATGTCGTGTTCACCACTTGCTGCCATATTGGCTGTTTGTAGGAGCAAGAAAGTGGAGCGAAAATATCAGCCTGTCGTCTTTAAGTTCATTTCTCAAACTCACCAAGATGGAAGGAAGTGAAAGTCAGTATCGTGACCACTGCTTCTTGTGGACAAAATGTATTGACTTTTGTTGTCACTTCATAATCACTCCAGCACAGTCAGATACTAGCATGGCTGCCACTATGAGAACTGTAGCGTTAGCCTTCAGCTGTGGTGGTTACTGCACGCCACAAACCGTTGGTGCTTTGAACTAAATACGAGTTTCGTGTGAGAGCTGTTGCTCGTCTCTGGAGGTGTTGATGGAGAAATGTGCATCTGAAAGTCTCACTTGTCGTCCGTCTACTCTGGACTGTAGGTGGAAAGACAGCAGTGAGAAAATCTCTACATGCTCTGAATGAAGTCAAACTGAAACCCAGTCTCCAGTCTGGGAAAAAATGCAACTGCTTAAAAACATCTTGCAGTACCAGTGTGTTCATGAAGTGTTCGTGTGCTCTGTCCTTCAGGGTGCGGTGTCCAGTGCAGATAAAGTAAAGTGGAGAGAGGAAGATGCCAGCCCCACCTCCCCCACCACCTCCTGGGCCTCCCCCTCCTCCCACCTTTAATGTTGTAAGTCATCAGTCTCCGCTGACTGTGCTCAGCGGAGACATCTTGTGGATAAATGATGTCATAACGTCTCTTCTCCTGTTTGCTCTGCATGGTCCTGATTTTTGTCCACTCACCGCCACGGCCTGTGATCCACTCGCAGCTTTAACCTTTTACATTCGACGCATAGAGATCGATAGAATCGGGTGTTTGTTTTCCTTCTCCCTCGGGTGTTTTCTGCAGCTTCACTCTGTCTCTGTTTCAGGCCAACACAGAGAAGCCAAATCTGAACCGCTCACAGCAGCAGGGCAGGAACGCTCTGTTGTCCGACATCAATAAAGGCGCCAGGCTAAAGAAAACCGTTACCAATGACCGCAGTGGACCCATATTGGACAGTAAGTCGAGACCGATAGTTAATGGATACTAACATCACGTCTTTATACAAACAGCTTGCAGTGAATGTGGAAGATTTATCCTGTAAATGAACATTAACTTTAATATTTTTTTTATCTTCTCAGAACCTAAAGGAGGTGGAGGTGGAGGAGGAGGAGGAGGAGGTGGCGGAGGAGGAGGAGGAGGTGGCGGCGGCGGAGGTGGAGGTGGAGGAGGAGGAGGAGGTTTTGGTGGCGGGTCTCCTGCTGGTTTAGGAGGCCTGTTTGCAGGAGGGATGCCAAAACTGAGGTCTGCAACAAACAGAGAAACCACAGGTAAGAAATAACTGATAATCTAAAGGATGATGATGATGATGATGATGATGATGATGATGAACGCAGCATTAACATTGGTCATTTTGTCTTTTCACCCCTCCAGACTCGGGACCCAGCCGAGGACCTGTGTTCCCCCCAGGAGGCCGCTCTAGTGGCCCCACCCCCTTCGGCGGAGGCGGTGGCTCCGCTGGCCCACCGAAGCTCCGAGGAGCCCTGGGTGGTGGCCGTGGCAACGTCTCTGCTATGTCCCCCCCGGGCCGCCCAAATTTCTCCAGACAAGACACTCCGGGAGGCCCCCCTCCTCCCGTACCCAACACACCTCGACCGGGCCAGTCCTTCCAGTCTCGTGGGGGCCCACCTCCGCCGTCACTCCCTGGAGGACCCAGACCCAGCCCGGCTTCTGGTCCTCCGCCTCCCAGTGTTCCATCAGGGAGACACGGAGCTCTCCCTCCCCCACCAGGAGGCTCCTCACCCGGGCCAAGACCAGGATTCTCCGCACCTCCTCCTCCACCCTCAAACAGCAGCCGCCCTCCCTTGCCGCCAGCTCCCGGAGGTAGACCCCCGCTTCCCGACGACCGACCCCCACCACCGCCAACTCCTCTGGGAGGTCATCGGCCATCTATGCCCCGCGACATGCCCCCTCCTCCGCCCTCCGTCAACTCCAAACCATCTCCCTCTGTCTCTTCCTCCTCGTCCCCTCGATCCGCAGCTGTCGGGGGGGGGCCTCCTCTCCCGCCGGGGCGACCGGGCCCTCCACCTGTCCCGCCCACCCCAGCTGGAGGGGATGACCACAGCACACCTCGTCTACCCCAAAGGAACAGCTCACTCAACAGGTACTGGGAAAGGTTTTATGGTATTTGTTTAGTGTTAATGGATGAGTTGCATTGAAGCCAGGTGTGTACACAGGGCTTCCTATCAGGCATCACACACTGAGATAATATCCTTGATAGTTAAATCTTCTGTGGTGGCTGTGTTACAGTTTGCATAGATTCAAATCTAATAGCTGTTCTATTCTGCTGCAGTAACACATCATGCAAACTTCTTCATGTCGCTTCCCTCTGAAAAGATCCGTCCCTTTTTTAAAAACCTCATTTGTCTCGTGTAAAATACAGTTTTTTAACACGTATGCGTATGAACATGTGGAGCTGCCCAGTGTTGCCACAGGCTGACGCTGCTGAGCACTCACTGCACTTCATCTGGGAGTTTCAGTGCTTTGCTCAGGGGCTTGGTAACTGTGGCTGTTGAGGGAGGTGAGGTGACGTTATGATCCCTTCTGTATATTCAGCTTCAAATACAAAGTCGTCATGACAAGCAACGTGTCGTAAAGATAAATCTGCTCAGCTGCTAGTTCTCCTTTTTTTTAAGATGAAATGCTGTGAAATTGATCCTCAGATTAAAACTCTGCTTTTCCCCGGCAGCCATGGTCCAGCTCCGCCTCACGGCCGGGCGGGACCTCTGCCTCCTCCACCGAACGAGAGGCCGCCATCTCTTGGGAGGAACCAGTCCTCAGCACGCACAGGTGAACGGCCTTGATCAGTTACCTGAACCATGGATCACTACTGCACACAAACCATTCACCTCAGGAGCCTGTATCTCATCAGTGTTTACTTTTACCCTCAAAGGACCTCTTCCTCCCCCTCCTCCCTCGGGTCGTCCCGTGGGTGGGGGCAGTGTGAGGTCATCGGCAGCTCCTTCTCCTATCGGTCGGCCAGGCCCCGATCCCCCTCGTGGTGGACCCGGGGGTAGACCTCCCCTCCCTCCAGACAGGCCAGGGACAGGGGGAGCCCCGCCTCCTCCACCACCCATGGGTAACGGCTTCCAAAACTCTCACCACAACCCGACACAGGGTGAGTATGTCCTTGAAGGTGTTAGTTTGGTAAATTTGAATATTGATAAAAAAAGATTTGGGCGGGGTGGAAATACCAGTGGAGAGAAGTAAAGTACATGTACTGTAGATGTAAGTAGAATAAAAACCAGATATATAAACCCATGTGTGCCGGTGCTAACTTTGCAGACAGGTGATTGGTTAAACACCTTGTAGAGGATTCGCTGTGTTTTTCAAAGACTGTCCTCTCACAGTCTGGACAGAAGAAACCCGTTGCCCTCAGTGTTGTTTTTACCACGAGTTCAACTATGGCAGAGAAACCCATTGACCTCCATTTGTGTTGTTTTAACCCACTGAACCACAGAAAGTAAGTCTGATTTGGAAAGCGGTGGGGACACGTAGCGACAAGAGTTCATAAGTGTCCTGCCCAAGAAAAGTCAGATGGTTTATAATCACATTTCCTGCGGTTGTTCACGCATCAATTTCCCTTCATTCATCTTCTCTTAAACTAGACGTCTCTCGTCTGAGACCCAGTCGATGTCTGTACCTATACGAGTACTTATGATATGCTTGTGTTGGTGTCATCAGCGGACTATTGACCTCTTTTTCTCTCCATTAACAGACGAGTGGGAGTCTCGCTTCACTTTCCATCCAGTGTCAGACCTTCCTCCTCCGGAGCCCTACATGCCCTTCCAGAAGACCTACCCCAGCATAATTGCAAAGAGTGATGGCAGAGGTCAGACACAGACATGCACACACATCTTTTAAAAAATAAAATTAGGAACTGATTTTTGTATTTTGAATGTTTTCTTTCTGCTTTTGTAATCTCGGCATCATTGAAAATGAGGTTCACTCCTCAATCTATCTTTGAGAAAATAAATAACGGTTGGTGATGTAAAAATGTCATATCTCCAAAATGTTTTCAGGAGGTAAGAAAAAGAAAGCTGTGTTCTCAGTCCTGAAGTTTATCTAGTCTCTGACTTTTCTCAACTTGTGACAACCCTCTGATACCTGTGGAGCAACTGCGTTATTAAGAAATACTTTGTTATAAATAAAAAAATGTATACTCGAGAAAATGTATTTCAAAAACTAGATGATCGACCCTAGAGCACAAAACTACATTTGAAATACCAATGAAATACAACCCCTGAGGTCACTAGAGGTGCAGTCCAGCTGGGCTGTAACACAGTGCCACCTGGTGGAAGAGAAATACATCTGCTCTGGAAAAGGAATAAAAACACTAACTCTCCCGTGTGTTTTCTTCTTCCCAGGTTCTGGTAAAAAGGAGAGAGGAGCTCCTCCTCTTCCTCCGATCCCCAGGTGAAGAAGAGGTGGCAGCCATCACAGCACCTGAAAACTACCCTCCCTGTTTCCCTCCTTTTCTCTCTTCCTGTGTTGCGCTCATTGTGCTTTGAACTGCGGCGGCGTTTGATTTGTGTGTGTGGACTGCAACATGTAAGAAAAAAAAAGAAAAGAAAAAAAACTGATCTGACGTACGTTTGACCAAGTAAAAGGACAGACTCACGATGTGGAGTTTACATCACGTGCCTCTGTAGCAGCAGAATGGCAATATTCAGAGACCAAAGCCTGTTCCTCCTGCGGTACACTGTGCTCAGATAAAAAGAAAATCAGATTTGTACCTGTTTAGGTACTAGGAGGAAATGTGGGTTTCTTTCAGGTTTACAACCACGCTGTGGAGGAAGATGCATTTTTGACTTTGTCAATCTGGTCGCTGTGAATTCTGAGTTGCTCATAAACAAAAGTATTTTCATGAAACTTGATCAACGTTGACTCTGTTCTCTTAAATAACTCTTTCATCGTTTGCTTCCGGTGGACGATCGATTCCATACATTTGCTTTTAGAAAAGAATTCAGACTCTTTCCTGACAAATGAAGTCGAGAGGCAGCACATGTGACTTTTCCCGGCCTGTTTACAAAGCCCAGCGTTAGGTGACGCTAAATCAACATGTTATGGCAATATTATTGTCAACATTGGAGTCCCAGGGTTATCATTCAGCAACAGTGCAGGGCTTATAATGCAACCGGTTGCCTTCCTTCAGTGTGTCGATAAGCTGTTTCCCTCTTATGTTTTTTTTTTGTTTGTTTTTTTGTTTAGTTTTTTTGTACCAGTGTTTCCCTTGTGCCTTTTTCTATTCAGGATTGTACTTTCAGGCTGCTTGAGAAGAGTTAAGGGAATTCGCCTTTTGTGCCTTAAATTATGTATATATGTTTGTTCAGCTGGGTTGGATGATGTAACCGATCTAAATGTAAAAAAAAAAACGGAAGCAATACAGCTGCTGGATTGCCACATCATCTAGAATATTTAGCATAGCAAAGTGTCTTGATTACAGCGTCAACACACAGACATTGAACCAAACAAAAAATAAAAATAAAAAATGGCCTCCTGCCTGCGCTGCATAAAAGATGAGGGGAAACGCGGGTGTTTAATTTGCCAAAGCCACATGTGCCTTCATGGTATGTGTATTTACATCTGTGTGTTTCTGTTGGAAACACTGAACGGTACTTTTCATTTGATTGTAACATGTGACGTGCGTTTAATGCTGATGATTGAGATGTTTTAAAGGACATTGCATGGGTTTCACGGCAGCATTGGTTTACAATTGATCTGATTATTATATTTGCTGTTTCGTTAAAAGCTGCGCTGACTTATCATGAAGGACCTGTGTATGTACCTGTATGATTTAATCAAGTGGTATTGAAGGACTGTATTATTTTAAGTTATGACTATTTTAAGAACTGTGCAGTATTATGTTTTTGCTTCACCCAGCACTGCTTTGAATGGTCTTTTGTATACATGATGCATTATTATCATGTGTTGGTCAAAGAGACATTTTCTTTAAGACAATCATACAGAAGCAAATCTATTTACGTCAATAAATAAAATGCTTTAAGATGCTTTACGTGCTCCGCCTCGGGGGAGATGTGCTTTTGTTGGAGAACACATTGTAAGAAATTTGATATTGCTGCACAAAGGACGATCATTGGACTCCAAACAAGGACAGTGAATTGCAGTGTCAACATCCAGACGAAGAACCTGGTTTTGTGCCAGATACACAATATGCATCATTTACACGTTTGTGCAATAAAATTGGGCAATAATTTGTGTCACAATATATAAGACATTGTCTGGAATTTTGTCTTATGAAATATTTTACATTTCGTCATTTGTACAATTTGCACTTGTCATCCATCATCTACCATTTGTTGATTTTTCTCACAAGTAAATATCTGTGATCATCCCAAACATATTGTGGCATTAGTGTCCTCAAGGTATTAAGATCATTGATGTTTGATTTTATTGTCATGCAGTAACATTGTGCAATTTCTCAGTATCAGTTGCTGCTGTTCAGATATAAGGGCCAGAGACGTATTAGCCGCAGTGATAACTCCACTACCTGTCAGTTCTCCCTCACATCCAGTACAATAGATAAATTCTCTTTTGCAAATATGTAGATGTTATTACCTTACTGTCTGATGTTCTCCTCATTCACAGCAGCTACGTGCACTGTTTACTGCATCAAGCCATTTGTACGTCATTTGGGAATAACATGTAAGTTGCCCAGGTGGGGAATATATTCGACATATAACAGCATCACTACATCTTGACGCCTATTTTTGTTACACTCTGCTGGAGAAGAGTTCACAGATTTAATGTTTAGATGACACAGAGACTGGTAAGCTGACATAGGGCGGGGTCAGCCTCCTGGTTTCCACCTTAACCACTTCATCCCAGGTACATGCGTGTGTCTCATAGCTTGTGATTAAGTATGTTGTGTATTATCATTTCATGCAAACATGAAATTCATTTTTGATCCAAAACCTTTTTCCTCAAGCCAGTACAAGTACTTCCAAGCTCCCAGACACCAGCCGCCTGGTGGAGGCCGTTAGCAACCAGCTCTGCCGTCTTCACCCAGTGGCCACGTGGTCCAGAGGGACCGTGAGGACTCAGTGGTCATTCATTCTCAAGGATTGTGTGGCCATCAGAGAGGCAGTGCTGGCCGGCCCCAGGTCGATGGCTCAGACCAACATCCAGCTCTTTGAATTGAATTGAGGACTCAGTGGTAAGAGTTTGTCATGAAGCTGTGTTGGTGTGTTGTAATCTGTTCTGTGATTCGTCTTTTAATAAAACAGTCTGTGTTGGTCTGTGTGTTCAGGTGCTGGCCAGACTCTCCCTTCAGTAAAGGGTCTGTCATTGGTACAGGTGGGACAAGGACAGCCCCTTTAACTTCGGTGTCCTGGAGGAGCAGCAAGGGTCTGCCTCCTCCTCCTCCTCCTCCTCTTCTTCCTCCAGACAATGAACAGCCTGGCCCCTCATCCAGTGCTGTTGGTCCTTCCCTCGCTCCAGCGCCACTCCCCTCTTCTGTTCAGCCACCTCCTCTGTACCCAGGACCAGAGCCTACAGGAAGAGGAAGCTGCTGTGGCAGAGCGGAGGCCGCTGCCTGGAGGAAAAACCCACCGGCTGCCAACTTCATACATCTGCAGCAAGTGTGTCCGACCCAGAGGGATTGACACTGACCTCACACACATTGCGGGTGTGTCACACTGTGTGACTGTTGGTGGAAAGACTGTGGAGGAGTGGAGGGAAGAGATGAAGAGAAGACAGGATGACAACTTTTTCTATCTTTATTTATAACTTTTAATTGACATTATTTAGTGCAAAGACTGGACATTGTCTGTTTCCCTGGTAAAAATGTTGTAAATAGTTTCCATTGGGCACAATGCTGTTACTGTATGTAAGAATTAATCTGTATTTTGTGCTTTCTTTTATTGTTGCAGCTTACGTCATGTGCTGTGGTACAGTGGATGGATGGGCATTGGTTGAGAAAACTAAGGTCATCACATGTCTCTCTATCACAGGGTGAGGAGCCCTGGAGGGAGAGCATCAGTTTCACCTGAACCTCAAGAAAGAAAGATAGATAGGTATTGCAGATCAACTTCTGTTAGGACATGTACATGTGTGTATACATGTCTTGCTGTGGTTGTGGGGACAAATTTGGCTTTGAAACCATCAGTGTGAGGTTATTTTGGCCAGTCGTGACAGCTTCAAAAGGCTTTTTGAGGAGTGAAGTACTCGCACCAAGCAGCCGGCACATTCAAAAGTTCTCCAGTAATTCTCTAGTTTTGTTGATTATTCTCTGTCCTCAGTGTTCACAGATTCAGTTTCTTGCTTTTACTTAATTTCTACTGTTGTTGATGGATGATAGTAACAACATTTTAAGAGCAGAATCTGTTCAGCTCTAGCACAGTCACCACCCTCACAGGTGAAAGTATTGACCAGTTCAACATGAAAACGGTGTTCAGGAGGAAACAGATGGAGCTGACCCGCCAGAACTGCAACCTGGAGCAAAGTGAGACTCCTAATAGATGTGCTGCAGTGACCTCATAGAGATATGTATTCACCTTACACACTCTTTAGTGTGAACTGAAAATTGACAGTTAAGATTTTGAAGCATTATGATGATTACTGTTGCTATGCGTTAGGGGGCGCTAGGGTGAAACTCAAGGCAGTCACGCACACAATAGGGAGACACCAGAAGAACAGGATGTCATGTGACCGCCTCAGTTGCTTAAAGTAAACAACAACTCCGGGTTTTTCTCCAGGTGCAGTCAGCTCAGAAGAAGGAGGCACCGTGCCAAGAGGCTGGCACCAACGAAGGGAGAGCTGAGTCTAAACCACGGCCTCTCCCCAAGCTTTTTCACCAATCAGATAGTTACAAAATATATACAAAACTCTGTGTAACTGCTGAGATAGACACTCTTCTCTGGGACGTTGGACACAGCTTACTGCCTGCAGACTGTGGGTTTCAGATCGGAGGGAGATCCATGTACATGCAAATTTTGATTCTCTAATAGCAAATAAATATTGGTTTCAACGGATAACTTCGAGTGGAGAACTCTTACTGCAAATAAACGAATGCGCTGACAGTGTATAAAAGTAATAAAAAGAGGTGGATTATAAATTACAGTAGAAATGTAAAAATAATACTTCATAGCTAAGTGAGGATAGTGCAAATGTCTAAGTGATGGAGGTAAGGTGCAAAAAGTCCAGGAGCCGTTATTCATCATCAGTCCTCCTGTGTGACACAGTTTACATGAAGAAGCTGTTCTGAAGTCTGTTCATGTTCTGCAGAACCAATTTAAAACACACATACGTTTTACACTGTGTTTTTACAGTTTGATATTAGCGCACATGCTAACTTCAACTACAATAACATTACAAGTTATTCCTCACATATATGATATTTGTCAAATGGACGTTGGATGTATGCAATTAGTTAATTAATTTACTAAGTACTAAGTTTATAGTTTAGCGTTACAATATGCATGACGTATAATTACGCATTTAGAGGTGGAGCCTTTTTGGGTGCACTGTCCCTTTAAGAGTCTCTCGCTCTAGCTCTTTCTGGACCCTGTCGCTTTCCGTTATCCTCGGAAGTGTATGTTCGGTGTGTTTAGTTCAGCACCGCTCGTTCAAATCCAGATATTTACTGTATAACGTGGATTAAAATAACGTCTAAAATGTCTGGGGGAACCCAATTGGAGAACGCCAACCCTGTGATTTTTCAGCGGTCGGGGGAGAGGCTGCTGACGGCGTCGGATGAAGATGAAGAAGTCCATGACCCCATCGACGACAGAGAGATATTCGATATCCTGTTTTTAACTTCATGTACATCTTCTCCGGTTTTAAGTAGTTTTACACCTGGCAGATAAGTTTGTACTTGATAAAACTGTAGTTTAACTAATACTCTGGACACAAGCCGCATGTTTTTTCTCTAACGTTGCAGGCAGTTGCATCATGTGTTAGCTAACGTTAACTGTTACGTAGAGACAGTAAATGGAGTATTTTTGTTAAATTTTGGAAGTTGTGTGACACTGTGTAGACTGACTATCATACAAGCATATCATGTTAATGAGATTAAACTGCAGAATAAATATATAGACGGTTTAAAACGTTTTCAGCATATTTTCTTAAATTTCAAGTAATGCACTTAAATATTCCTTATAGAGCTGAAACAATTCGTCAATTACACAAAAATATATGCTAGTTTGAGAACTCATTAATCGTTTCAGCCCTTTTTAGTCCAAATTTTAATTTAACAGGAAATAACCTTAAATCAAACTCTTTGCCCCCTATAATAACTCCCTGGTGTGATGTGTATGGTATATACATTCTACAAATATATAGACAGTGTTGTGTTAGTTGTAAAAAAAAACAAACAAAAAAAACAAATAGCCACATTTACAATAATATAAGGGATAAACTGTTTATTACGTCATGAATTGTTGTATGATTACTTAAATTCAGAAATTACATAAATTTAACAAAACGCATTATAATATAATAAATGTCTTACCTATTATAACATACTGATTGCATCATAGTGCAGCACATAGAGCCAGGACTTGTCTCTATGTGTTGTCTTGAATTCTTTAACTAATGTTACATCTGATCAGATCCATCAACGACCCGGAGCATCCTCTGTCTCTGGAAGAACTCAATGTGGTGGAGCAAGTCAGAGTCAAGGTAAGTCCCTGTATTTGTGTGTTTTTGTGTGTTTTAGGTTTACTACAGGACGAAAACAGACTTATAAATATTCTAATTTAGTGACTAAGAAGTTAAGAAATGGTTGAAGTAACTAAATTGCATTCAGTATTGTTTATTAAATTCCTTTCCATCTTTTTGTCCTTGTCTCAGGTTAATGATACGGAGAGCACTGTGGATATTGAGTTCACACCCACTATCCCCCACTGCAGCATGGCAACACTCATCGGCCTGTCAATCAAAGTCAAGCTGCTGCGCTCCCTGCCAGACAGATTCAAAGTGCGTTTGTGTGTGTGTTGTTGTTGGCTGTAGAAATTTAACATCACCTCCTCTGATTAGATTCTTAGATAATACGAACAGAAAGTTGTACTTGTAGCAGTTCTGAGTGCCAGTGTGGTGTTTTTTCAGTTTGAGGTGTAAATGTAGTGTCTGTTTCCACTCAGATTGATGTCCACATCACTCCTGGGACTCATGCCTCAGAGGAAGCAGGTAAAAAATTAAAGCAGGCATGTTGGGATATTAGATAATTCTCAATGCATTGTCATGTTTCTTGCAGAGATCTCCTATTGATTCCT